GGGGGTGGGTAGATAAGGGTTGGGTTGGTGGTGGGTGAAGTGGGAGGGACTTTCTTTTCCATGGTGGGCAAAGAGTTGGTGATACGCCTTCTTTTGTTATTTTTATATTTCAAGTTTCAAGTATTCTGTTTATTTATTTTATTTTAGTAATTTAAGGTTTGTACGTAATTTATATAATATAATAAATTATTTTACCGATCAATATGATTATTATGTATATTATATTATAAAATATTTGATAAAAACTCTTAAAAACTATTTTTTATTTATGAAATACTGTTTATTGATGTATATTACTTAAAATTCAAGATCATAAGTAAATTGTACGTAAATACAACTTATTAAAGCTTTATGTTTGAATTTGTGTAATTAATTATAGATAAACATAATCAAATATAGGATAAACATTTTATTTTGAATATAAAATATCTAAAATGTAATTAGGATAATTATTGAGTTCTAACAAAATACTTGATTATTATTATTTTTATAAAAAATATATTATTAAACAAAAAAATGAATTAAAGAAATACACAAAAAATGAAATAGTTAGTTTCGTACTAATATGAATATTTTTTTTTTCATATTTTTATGATACTTCATATTTATATTTTATTCAAAAATAAAAACATTATTGTTTTCTCAAAATCACATAAAACCGTATTATAACATCAACTGAGACAAAAAATAAAATAAAACGAAACATTAAATCGAGTTGTATCTCACTGCATTGTGCGAGTACCCTTCTAGTTATATATATATATATATATATATATATATATATACATATACATATATAGTTCAAACACAGTGTGGATCCTTGAATTCACGTTTATTGTTTTATATAGCAAAAATAATTTTCATTATAAAATAAGTTACTAACGTGACAAAATGTCAAATCATCTCCAACAATCATGTTATCTTATAAATTTAAAGATTTGAGAAAAGTTGTGAAAACTGATTAAAAAGAAAGATTTAAGCAAAAGATATGGTGGAGATTTGATTTTTCTAGAAGTGGAATGAATATCATGTTTGTTTTCGACTAATTGATATCTTACAATCAGGTATCACCCGAATCTTGAAATAAAAGTTGCTCACATGATAATTAATTTTGAAAAGATTGATTCAAATTAAAAGTTAAATATCATGAGAATGTAAGAATCAGAAATGATCGATATATTTCTTGAAACAAACGAAAGATGAAATATAAATCATGGTGAAAAAGTTGACAAATAAGAGATGATTCATATGTGAAGGTTGAAAAACTCCATTTAAAGGTTCATATTAGAACTCATGTGAATAATCTCTTATGTCGGTTCATATATGATTTTTGAAGTACAATTTTTCTCATTTTTTCAATGATTCACACATGAATGTTGACTTAACATTTTATTTCTAACATTTTACGATATTTAGAGGTCGTTTACCAAAAACTTACTTAATAAGTGCTTACCGCTAAAATTTAACAATATTATTTATTTACTGGGTAAGATTTTAAAAATCCACCAAAACGACATCGTACGTAATATTTTACCTTGTAAGTGTTTACCCTGGTAAGAGTGTCACACTCACTTACCGGATAAGACTCATGGTTTTTGTCTTGTTCTTACCAGGTAAGATTTTTGGTCCTTACCATATTCATCCAGTGAGGTAATGTGTTCTGATATATTCTTACCCGATTAATTGTTTGCTAAACGGTCTCTAAATCTTTTTATTTGAATCTCCAATTAAAAGACATTTACCCCCCCCCCCACACACATATATATATATATATATATATATATATATATATATATATATATATAATAAACAAAAGTATTCAACCATACAAGTATTAAATTTTAATAATCATAAAAAGGAAATAATTAGGATGGGGGTTGGTGAAGGGCATGGAAAAAGATAAAAATAAATTAAATATTATTATTTTATAAAAATGAATTAACAAAAAAATATAATAAAAAAAAATAATTAGTTTCGTACTAATATCAATAGTTTTTTTTTTCAATTTTTTATGATACTTTATATTTATATTTTATTCAAAAATAAAAACATTATTGTTTTCTCAAAATCATATAAAACCGTATTATAACATCAACTGAGACAAAAAATAAAATAAAATGAAACATCAAAATCAAGATGTATCTCACTCCAAATTTTTAGTCACATACGCGCGCGCGCACACACACACATATATATATATATATATATATAGTTCAAATACAATGTGGATCCTTGAATACACGTTTATTGTTTTATATAGCAAAAATAATTTTCATTATACAAAAAGTTACTAACGTGATAAAATATTAGACCATCTCCAACAATTATATTATTTTAGAAATTTATAGATTTGAGAAAAAAAAAGTGTGAAAAGTGATTAAAAATAGAGATTTAAGCAAAAGATACGGTGGAGATTTGATTTTCTAGAAGTGGAATGAATATCATGTTTGTTTTCGACTAATCATATCTTATAATCAGGTTTATTAAAAAAAATAAAGAGCTCGTATTTATGCAATAAAAAGATTTGTTTCAAATATATTTTTTGGAAGAAATAAAATATCGAGATATCTCTCGTTGCATTGTGCAAATACCCTTCTAGTGTATATATAATAAACAAAAGTATTCAACCATACAAGTATTATAAAATTCATTAAAAAGGAAATAATTAGGATGGGGGTTGGTGAAGGGCATGAAAAAAGATAAAAATAAAATTAAATATTATTTTTATGTAAAAAAATAAAATGGACCCCGTTCACCAACTTTTATTCCCCCGCCATGATCGTGACTCACCCAATTTCTCAATTACTATTTACGTATGTTTCACCCTACTAAAAGTATTTACTCTATTTATCCGAAATAAATGTCTAATTTTTTTTATTACCTGGATATCCAACCCGTTATGCGAGCCGACTAATCCCTAGGCGACCATCCGCTTCACGGGTAGCCCGGAGTCACCGCATTTGAATCTCCATGGCCACAAGAGAATTTTTTTTATTCCTCATTGGATTCAAACCTAGGACCTTGATAACTCTCATTTTGTTAGAGTTATTTGTTGTCCAATACCCCTATTTTATTGTATCTTTGGTACCCATTTTGCTCCTATCCTATATTTTTGATCCAAATTATGTTAAGAGGTGATAAAAGGTTAAGAATTTAATTATTGTCTAAAAAACTCTTTATTGTTGGTAAATTTGGCATCTAGTTGGATTTGAACAAAATTATGATATTCATATTCTTGGATATTATTGGGAGTTAATGCTAAGTTCAAATCTAATTACTTGGTTGCATGGAAGATTGGACCTAGTTATGGGATGATGAGACTTGGAAGAGTTCTATTTGTACCAT